GCTCTGATCGGGCATGGGAAGAGGAGTCTCCAAGCCGGACAGCGCGTCGTAGCCATCGTCGTACCCCTCCCCTTAGAGAACGACAACCTCTCGCGTCCCCGGTGTCACCGTCTCCCGCCGTTCAAGCTCTTATCCCCCCCTCGTCCCCATTACTGCTTCCTACCCAAGATACCCAGAGCCAAGTAGTTGTTTACGAGGACGAACCATCCCCAACCCCAAAGAAAACCGTTACTGACCCCCTCAACGTATCCCAAACAACCCAGCTTGCTTCTCAAGATATCGACGACGAGAACATCCCCGCCACCGCATCTAGTCCGCTAAGCGATGCTGAGGATTTCTCTGACCATGACGAAGAGAATGACCCTATTATCCACTCTTTTGGACCTTTTGGAGATAATATCCTCTCTCGTATGACCTCATTCACAGCAGGGGGCTCTCCCGCTCAGCCTGCGCGTGCCAAAGCTCTCGGGGTAACGGATTCGCCTCCCCAACCCTCTGCCCGTAAACCAGCAAGCGAAGCAGATAAAGCCAATGTCGAGAACCACATCGTGAACCAGCTGGCCTTCTCCCGACTCTCGTCGACTCCACTCTCCACCATCCTATCTAACCTACCCTCAGGCTTATGGAGGAAGAACCCGACGGACGAGAAAGGTCTCACCAGAGACGAGATCAAAACTCTTCTCGAAGCCGTGCAGTGCATCGGCAAAGTAACCCGCGAGGGCAAAGATGCCGCTGGCAAGCCTCTCGAGAGTGAATACCATTACATCCCTGACCTCGACGAAGATGAGAAGAGAAAGGAGGCTGTCGTTAGTGGTCTGATGAAGCCTGGATTGAGGAACTGCAGAAAACAGCATAAGGTTCGAGCGTCCCATACTTTGCCTCCTCTACTACATTTTGTTAACGTCATCTCTACAGCAATACTTCTGGCGCAAGCCCAAATAAACCTTCTCGCCCCCATCCTCACTTAGCCCTAAAAAGTTTCTTTGCCCTTAATCGTCTCTTTGTCCCTGTCTAATTTTGTGTGTAAGTTTATCTCCGCATAGCGTCGCGTGGGCATACCCGTTTCCCTTTTGTTTTATTTCTTTGTTTCAGACCTCACTGTCAGAGTCAGGGTGGACTGTCCTCGATGTCTAAATTTGGTTCGATCCTATCCTATTATTCTATCTCTTTATCTTCTCTTATCGCTTTCACCCACGCCACCGTTACCCTTTGTTCGTCGTATCTCCAATTTGTTTTCCTTTTTACTGTCCGCTTTCTGTTCTCTCCAAGTCCTCGAGTCACACCTGTCCCTTCTTATTTTTTGAGTCTGTGTTCGGAGTATTCCCTTCCGGTGGCAGTATTGATTGATTGATGGGCTGAGCGGAAGACGTCATTTGATACCACGCAGTCATGTATATTGAGCCAAACCATATGTCCTTACAAAATATAACTATATTGTTCGTCTGAAGCTGGCTCTTACCCCGATGACTTCTATCACAAATCGCTTCCTTTTCTTTATATTTCTCGTGATCGCCCCTCGGGATGTCTCTCCGATGCTGTGTGCCTTGGCTTCGTTCAGCGCTCGGGACGTCTCCAGGGAACTTCATGAGATCGAGGCATGGAAACGTTCTTTTATTCTCCCTCTCATGCTCGACCTGCCTTCGTGAGAATGAACCTCGGTCGTTCTTTCTTAGCGTACGATCGTGAATGTGGGGCTAGCCTCAACCATTCCCAAAAAAGACTAGTCTACCCTTGTTCTAAGTTCTGGAAGAACATTTAATCCGAGTTTTCACATGACAAAGACAGCAAGCTCGGCCAATACTTTCATCTGATTGGCTAGTTCCCAACGTCGGCTTCAAATTATGCGGAGAAAAGTCCCTGGGCATGTTTTTGCCTCGTGTTGGAACCGATCAGGGCCATCCTCGATCTAAGCGAATCGCCCGAAATGGGGGGAATCATGCGATGCCCAGGTTTCATTCTCTTCCCCGGCCGATAGAAATTCCCCTTGTTCAAGATATCTTTAAAGGGCTGCTCGGCAGCATCTCTAGACCCTCTCGACTACACCCGTATCCATCCCGATAGCGAATATGGCGTCCTTTAAAAACTACCCGCAGGCCTACGTTGGTAACAAGGCGCATTCAGAGGCCGGGGTGGTGATTGTCGGAGCTGGAATCTCTGGTGGGGTTTGAATCGAGGACGATAGTACGCGGCATGTTCGATTGCTAATGCGCTTATAGGAATATGTATGGCCATCGATCTCCTGAAGAAAGACATCCACAACTTCGTCGTCCTCGAGAAGAGTGGAGGGCCAGGAGGGACGTGGCGAGACAATAAATATCCTGGGTGTTGCTGCGACGGTGAGTCTGAAGCGACGCCTTGGTATATATGTAGGAGTGCGAACGCTGACATTGGATCACACCAGTATTTTCCCACCTTTACAGTTTCTCCTTCGAACAGAACCCAAATTGGACGAGATTATACTCTGGCCAGGAAGAAATCTTGGTAAGTGAGCTCAAGATTCTCATATATACGATCGCCGTCATGCTAATGCGAGTATAGAAATACCTTATAAGGACCGCACAAAAATACGACCTTTACCAGTACATCCGTTTTAACTCCTCGGTCGAGGATGCCCGGTGGAACGAGGAACAAAAGAAATGGGAGACCTCAGTCAAAGTAGATGGCGGAAAGGATGCGGAATATGGGGATAGCTATACCCTAACTTCCGACTTCCTGGTCTCTGCCGTAGGCCAGCTCAACCTACCCCAGTACCCGAATATCCCTGGTCTGGACGATTTTCAGGGCAAGATGATGCACTCGGCGAGATGGGACTGGGGTTATAATTTCGATGGAAAGCGGATCGGTATTATTGGAAACGGTAGGCACTTCTGTCGAGAAAAGTCCTCGCAAGCAACGTTCTAACGAATAATTGCAGGAGCCACGGCTGCCCAGGTTGTCCCCGAAGTCGCCAAAACCGCATCGCATCTCACAGTTTTCCAACGGACACCGAACTGGGTCGTACCAAGATACAATGTGAACGTTCCTTGGCCCGTGCAAGCTATCTTCAAATATATCCGTCCCACACTATGGAGGTTCCGTGCTACTCTCATGGATTTCCGCGAAGGCTACGTTTTCGACTCCGTAGCAAGCGCCGACTCCAAGTCGTCTGATCTTGTTCGGAAAATGACCACTCATATGTTACAATCCGCACTCCCTAACCGACCCGATCTACGAGAGAAACTTACCCCGAACTATCCTCCCGGTTGCAAACGAGTAATTATTAGCGACGACTACTTCCCAGCTATTGGCCGAGATAACGTCTCGTTAAATACTAGCCCTATCGAGCAGGTAACGGAGAACGGGATTCGCACAGCTGATGGGGAAGAGGAATTTGACCTGATAATTCTCGCCACAGGGTTCAGGACGGTCGAGTTCATGCACCCGATTCAAGTCACCGGGAGGGACAACCACGATCTAAGCGACATCTGGAAAGATGGTGCCCGAGCACTCTACGGCGTGGGAATTGAACACCTCCCCAACTTCGCCATGCTTTACGGGCCAAACACCAATCTAGGGCACAGCTCCATCATTCTCATGATCGAGGCCCAGGCCAGGTATGTCAGCAAATTGATTTCCGCGGTAATGGGCGCTCGGCAGCAAGGGCAAACCCTCACCCTGACCCCGAAGTCAGACCGCGTGGATGAATTCAACAAGGAACTCCAGGAGCAAATCAGCCACACCTCCTTCGCAGACCCGAACTGCAACAGTTGGTACAAGAATGAAAAGGGTCTAGTCACGAACAATTGGTCGTCAAATGTGATTGATTACCAGAAACTTCTCTCCAAGGTCAACTGGAACGACTTCGAGCTATCCGGATACAACGCTCAACAATTGGCGAAGAAGAAGACGGCTCGGGTTGGTCGTGTCGTTGAGGAGACCGTTATTACCTACAAGGCTATTGCTATCACGCTCGTTAGCATGGCTGCGATCAGTGCGTTTAAGGGACCAGACGCCATACCGAACATGGTGCGAAAATTTAGAATGAAGTTGAGATGATTCGGTCAACTTTCGTCCTGTATTCTATTTTACTGAGGTTTTGTATATAAAATAGATTTGATAGCTCATCTCATCTAGCCCAGGTTAAATTAATTGATAATTAGGAGTTTGGTTAAGGGCGCTATTGTCTATACATCTCTATCCAGCTACAGCCAGAGTGAGGGCAAGGCTATGACATCAACAGCACGTGCGGTCGTACTACCCCGACTTTGAGATACTTAAGCAGGAATTGATCTCGTCATCTTTTAATTCTCCGACAGCTGACCTAGATAACTATATCCATACATTCCTCATCTAGAAAACGTCAGAGAAATATATCGCTACCAACCTATTAACCTCCAAACCAACCATGGCCACCTCCACCCTCACCCAGAACTATAAGAACACCAACCAAACCAACACCAACACCACAACACCTCCTGAGCAAGACATCAGGAACCCCTCCTCCTCCTCTACCTCTCCCTCGGAGCCCTCCCATTCCTCCGAGCCTTCCACCACCTACTCAATCGACTCAAGCCCCACACACGGACATGATTGGGTCCCGAAGCTCGATAGACAGCAGAGCTGGGATCAGCAGGAGATGAGGCATGTTATGCAGGAACGGCTTTTGGGGACGGAGAAAGGGGATGAGGTTGGGTTTACGGAGATAGATGGTTGAAGGGTATGGGTGAGGGGGGAATTGGGAAAGGGGTGGATAGGGGACGCCGACTCCTATGTGTCGCACCCCACCGCTTCGGAAAATTGAGTTGTATCTTGAAATAAAAGTTTGGTTGTTTAAGCGTATCTTCGAGTAGGATCTTGTTTAGTTAGCTCATACTGATGTAGTTATATGTTTCCAGTGGTCAGAGGCTCCGGGAACTTGAAGTAGATGAAGGCCCTGGACTTCCGACCCTAAAAAATATATTATGATGGAGGTCTTGTCCCCACAGCGTCCCACCACGGGAAAAAAAAAACAAAAAAGTAATAGGTCTCACTGGGATTCGAACCCAGGCTATTCGGAGTTAAGACTCAAGACAGCTTGTATCAGAACCGAATGTCCTAACCAACTAGACTATGAGACCTTATTAGATGTTTGGAAGTTTGTCGGTCGGGTTTATATGGGAGAGAATCCACGAGTTTCCCTGCACATACAGTAATTGAAGCATCGAAATTCCTCAAGATGATATATAAAGAAAAGCTCTAAGAAATCTCAAAGAGGAACCAAAGAAGAGCGGGAGTTAATGGGAACCGCTGCATGACTCTGTTCTCTTTCAACATTGGGATTCCAAGTTGATCTTCTTTCGGCCCGTAAGCAAACAATCGACTGCACTTTATCGATTAGCTTCGCGATAACTTCGGTCCCGCTATTTTAACAACGACCGTTCTCATCTTCTCCAGTTCCTAACATCGTGAATTCACGAGACCGACCTACACTCAGAATAAGAACCTACGGTCTAAAAGACAGCGAACCCCCAAACCCTTTACGCTACTTTCACCCCGCCGACCCTCATTCAATGTGGCGTTCGAAGTCCCTCTTTCAGTTAGCATCTACGAACTTATCACCAGATATTCCCCGGTTTCAGCGACTGGCTTCCGCTTAACGGAGTCGCTGAGAAGAGGAAGGGGAACATGGACCGCAAAAGAAAGCGTATGCTATTTGTCCCCGCGCTTTATCACTCACGTTAGAGAGCCTCGCTAATATCTTTGGAACTCTGTAGGGGAACTTCGTGACCTGAATGATCGAGCATGGTCTGGCGAAAGCGGTACGGTTACCTTACGCATATTCACGAGCTTCGGGCTCTTAAGATTTGGAGACTAATTACAGAACTATAGACCTTTTCGCGGTCAATAAATCCTTAGATTCCGCCCTGAAAAAGAACACCGCGTTCATAAAGCGTTTGCGAACCGGAATCACAGCCTCCGCGCTCCCAACCTTCCTATCCGATATCCGCACCCTTTCTCTCCACAAGTACTTGTCCGAAATCATCTCCGCCTCCTATGAAGGTCTCTGCAAGCTCAAGTCGCCCGGGGAAATAGCTGCGGGAGTGGAGATTGTGAGCGCGCTACACCAACGGTTTGGACCCGCGGAATACACGAAGCAGCTTGGATGGTTGTTAGGAAGGGGCCTGAGCACACCGGATAAAGCTCAGTTGAAAGCTCTGAGCCAAGATGTGCGCGAGAGGGAGGAAAAGGAGCGCCTGGCTCGCCAGCGCGTCCTACTCCGCATCGTAACCGAACTATGGCTTGTCGCGTTTCTGAGAAGTTTGGATGATATCGAGAGGCCAGAAGATTTGGGTGCCAAAGCGAAGGATGGGGCTGCGGGCATGGCTGGGAAATCCGCGGACGGAACTTCGAAGAACAAGCCGTCTCAGCAACCTGCGAAGAGCGATCAGGATAGGGAAGCTGAACCGTTTCCGTTGGAGGTTCTGAAGGATTTACTAGGGCATGATCGTGACCATACGAATCTTCCGTTGGCGGTGTTGTTTGTTAGGAGCTACGCGTGGGATATACTGGGCGTCAAAACTGTGGATGACGGTAGAAAGACGGTGGAAGCTGATGGAGCTACGACTACTGCGAAGGAAACTACCGAAATCGGGTCTGGAGACGAATCTATGGCTACGAACGGTGTCTCTTCGGATGATCCTCCTCTGGCATCGGAGAAGCTACAGCTTCGGTTCCGGAACATTCTGAACCGGTATCTTGAAGATGTTAAATCGCACCTTGTTCGCGACCAGAAATCGCTCGCAAACCAGAGTCGCCGAAATGCGGAAGCATACGTCAAGAGCGGGGAGATCTTTGAAGACCGCCAAGCCAACTTTGAAAAGCAATCCAAGGCTCATGAGAAATTTGTAGCGAACACGCAGGTTCTTTGCGAGACCTTGGGTGCTGAGATGCCTGATTTGGCCGAAAAGGATGGAGCAGATTCATCACTAGGCAATAGTATCGGTCTTGTCAAAACGGGAGAATACCTGCGAGGCCAAGGTGAAGGTGCTGGTATCTGGGAAGATGAGGAAGAACGTCGATTCTATGAGAATCTTGTTGACCTGAAGGGCAAGGTGCCTGCTGTTTTACTGGACGATGGAAAGAAGAAGAAGGCAGACGAAAACGAGGTACCGAAGAAAAAAGTAGATGGCGAAGCAACCAATGGGACTACAGACGCATCGTGCAAACCCGAGCCTTCAGACTCAGCCCGGGCAGAGGATTCGACGACGCAAGAAACAGACGCACAATCTACCGCTATTGTCAGCAAGACAGTTGGCGCCCAGGTTGATGCATTGCTAGCAAAACTTCCCGAGCTACAGACCAAAGATGCAGTTGACCAGTTAGCCCTGGACTTTTGTTTCCTCAATTCAAAGGCGTCTCGAAACAGACTGGTGAAGGCTGTTCAGGAGGTTCCCAAAGGTCGTTCGGATCTTTTGCCCATGTATTCTCGCCTCGTGGCTACTCTTGGACAATACCTCCCAGATATCACACAGGGGTTAATCACCTACCTTGATGATGAGTTCCGCAGTCTCCAGCGCCGCAAGCAGAAAGAATTCCTGGGCCAAGTTCGCACAGGGAACATCCGATACCTAGCTGAATTAACCAAATTCGGCGTCGTCCCAGAGCATGTCATATTCCATTGCTTCAAGGTCAGCTTGGATGATTTCTCGCGCATGAATATTGAGATTATCGGTAATCTACTTGAAAATTGCGGAAGATACCTACTGCGAAACCCCGAGACGGCCCCAAGAATGGCTTCATTTTTGGAAACGCTTGGCCGTAAGAAATCTGCGCAACATCTAGGTCAGCAAGAACGAATGCTTATCGAAAACGCCATGTACTATGTTGATCCTCCACATCGACCTGCCATACAGCAGAAGGAGCGTAGCCCGATTGACCAGTACCTCCGGAAGCTTGTCTATCTTGACTTGAATAAACGCAACTACACTAAGGTCTTGAAATCTATCCGCAAGCTTCACTGGGAGGAACCTGAGGTAACGATATTCACCCTGATGAGGTATCTCTCCCATTGCTTACCAGTAAATACAGGTCGTCCAAATTCTGGAACGCATGTTTAGCAAGCCGGAAAAGGTCAAGTATGGAAGTATTCACCTCCTCGCAATCCTCGCGAGCGCGCTTTATAGGTACCATCAAGGCTTCGTGGTCGGAACCATTGATAATGTTCTTGAGCGAATCACCATCGGTCTGGAGCAGAATGACTTCAAATTCAACCAGAGACGACTTTCAGAGGTCAAATATCTAGGTGAACTGTACAACTACAAGATGGTTGATTCACCGGTCATTTTCGATACTCTCTATCGGATCATCACGTTTGGGCATGGTAGAGCGAATTCGAGCCTAAACATTTTCTTGACCCTTTACTGACAATATTCCAGAAGGAGGAACTCCCACACCTGGGAAGATAAATCCACTTGATATGCCAGATGACTTCTTCCGCATTCGGTTGGCCTGCACTCTCCTCGATACCTGTGGAGTTTGCTTCGACCGTGGTGCAGCCAAGAAGAAGCTAGATTTCTTCCTATCTTTCTTCCAGGTATATATCTCTTCAGGCATCTGAAACTATCTAAACTAACTTCCCTGGAGTACTACATTTTTACCAAGGATCCCCTGCCCATGGATATTGAGTTTATCGTCCAAGATACATATGCTTTAACTCGACCTCAGTGGAAAATAGCTTCCGACCTTCCTGAGGCGGCGCAGACTTTTGGAGAGGCGGTTGCCCAAAACTACAAGGTCCAGGAAGCGGATAAGACAGTCGAGCCCGATGATGATGCGGAGAGCTCGTCCTCTGACGATGGTCTTGAAGAAGACGCCATGCCTGAGGTGGATGATGAGCAATCTTCCAGCGAAGAAGCGGAGGTGAGAAATTTATCCGATTACCTAATTTCCAATGCTAACGTATTTTAAAGGCTTCCGGCAACGCCGCAGAAACCAACCCAGAGTCCGACTCCGGGGAAGAAGAGCAGATATACGTCACCCGTCAAGAAGAAGAACGTGACCCAGAAGCCGAAGCAGAGTTTGATCGTGCTTTTGAAAAAATGATGGCTGAAAGTATAGAATCCCGAAAATTCGAACGCAAGGCCATGTTCGATGTGCCTCTTCCCATGAGACGTACGGCGACGCATAATGCAACGAACTCTGTTGAAGAGCCTGCTCCCGTTCAGGAACCCGCCGAAGCGCAGCCCCGAAATACGATGGCTTTCTCTCTCATGACGAAGCGAGGGAATAGGCAACAGGTGCGTCTTTCTCTTTTCATGTCCATGCGCTAGGTAGGCTAACATCACTAGACCCGCGCGATCGACCTCCCATCGGACTCCAGCTTCGCCGTCGCAATGAAAACCCAACAGCAGGCCGAACGCGAGGAACAGCAGCGTATCAAGAACCTAGTTTTGAACTACGATCTGCGGGATGACAGCGAACAGAATGATGGTGAAGACGACATTTCTATTGACCCGTTTACCCAAGGGAACCCAAATACTAAAGGAATTAAAGGACTCGAGAAGCGCAACGCTTCTCACCGCGACCCTAGATCCGATAAGTCGAGCTCAACCCGGAGCGGCCATCGCGCAAGGAAACTACAACTCAGCGACGTGGACTGGTATGGAAGCAAGCCCGGATCAAGGACACCCAACAACCCTCGAAGAACCCATGGCTGATTTTTTTCTTGGATGGGAAATTGGTCCCTTGTTTGGGGCCTTTTTTCCCCCTTTCAACTTGATACTATAACAGGACTTGAGAAGCCCCCCATTACTCGCATATGTTATATGTTGCTCTTATTACCGAACCGATATAGGGCGATGGATTTATCTTTCGAAAACCCACCGAAATGGAAAAGGAAATCTATGGCCATGAAATAGACCGAGTCTAAGCCGTTCCTGGCTCGTCGCCGACCGCCCCATTACGCACGCACGAGTTATTCGACATCGACGCACGATACGATGCATGCGTACAATATCCCTTGAGGATCACTGACAGATTTTGCCGCCTTGGCTTTATTCCAACAAAGTCGGTGAGATGCACTCCTAGGGGCTAGCTGAACAGCTCGCCCACTCTAGAGTGGCGTCCAAAGCTTCGTTGC